AGCAGAATTCAAGTTGGATGGTTGAAGTGGAGGAATGCATCGGCTTGTTATGTGATGGAAATGTACTCCTCAAACTTAAGGGAAAATTCTATAAGATGGAAGTGAGGCCTGCATGCTTTATGTGGCCGAATGTTGGCCATTAAAAGAGAAGCATAATACTAAGTTAAGCTTTGGCAGAGATGAGGGTATGCTCAGGTGGATGAGTGGCTTTACACTTAGAGATAGGATACGAAATGAGCATATACGTGGAAAAGGTTGGAGTTGCTCCAGTAGAAGATACGATTAGAGAGAGTCGCCTTTAGATGGTTTGGTCACAAAAACGATGGCCTTCCGATGACCCGGTTAGGGAGAGTTAGAGGTACTAGATTTGACTTATGTTAAGAAAGGTAGGGGTAGACCTAAAAAGACTTAGTTTAGAAAATATTAGGAATGACCGTTTCTTTATTATATTTAAACGAGAATTTGACTTTTAATAGGACACAATGGAGAAAAAGGATTCATGTAGCCGACCCCACATAGTGGGATAAAGGCTTGTTGTTTTTGTTGTTGTTGTTCTTATGCACATGTTAAAATAGTTACCATATTTTTATAATTATGAAGAGCCTCCTATTACACTGTATGGGTAGTTTCCCTCTGTGTTACAAGACCATTCCTAAACCAAACTATAATAACCTTCAATAGATAGTTAAAGTTGGACATACTGGCCCGATTCAACTTTATCGGTGTGATCCTCTTATCCTATTGTAAGAATAGATCTTAGATGAAAGAACGAGAAATTAGCAAAAGGAATGACTAGGAGTATCGATTAAAAAGGCGTTCGAGGCGGATGCCTCGTGGCGCGCCTCGATCGAGGCGGAGGTCGGGCGAACTGAGCTTAAGCCTCAAACGCTCTGGCCAGGCTTTACGCCTTTTTCACGGAGGCGTACGCCTCACCGCGTCAGGCGTCGAGGCGCATCAAAGCAGCGACCCTCGAAAGTGCAGAAAGTTACCTTCACAGTCAGCGAGCTCCGTGTTTCTTCCGATCAAAATGTGTGAAACTTACGATCAGAGGAAAGGGAAAAGTCGTCGAAGGAGCCAAAGTCGAACAACCACGAAGGAGCTAAGAAGCGACGCGTGCAATCTCTACCACCTCACTATGAAGCAACGAAGCCCGAACAGCAAGAACAAAAAGAGAAAGATAAGGCAAATGAGACGCAACTAAGTTATTATTTATGATTAACTTAGTTATATAATTTAAAATATTAATAATTAAACAAATATTAAAAATTAATAAATATAATTAGTGCATGAATTAAATTCTATTTTACTAACTGAATAATTAGTATTATAATTATAATAAATTTAATATAATTAGCCTAATTAATATAAAATTACATTTAAATTACGCGGTATGCTCGGTACTGAGTTGTACATTGCTCGGTACTTGAGCGGTACATGCTCCGGTACTGAGCGGTACATGCTCGGTACTGAGCGTTACATAGCTCGGTACTGAGTGGTACATGCTCGGTACGCTGGTAGTTGAGCATATACAACAAGCAGAATTTCAAAATTAGTCTATAATATAATTTGTTCGGCGGGCGCTGCCCCGGAAAACCCCGCTAGTGGCGCGCCCCTTGGCCCCAGCGATCCTAACCGGGCCAGGTCGAACCCCTGCCAGGGCAGCGGCCCCCTTGGGGGACACCAGCAGAACTGATTATATTTTTGTATTCATGTTATTTTATTATTGGTAGTACAAATAATTGTTATTTTTGTTATTTTTTGTCATTATTTAAAATTTTAAATTAATTTATTTTAATCATTTTGAGGCTTACGCCTCGACGCGCCTCGAGGCTTACGCCTCGCCTCGCTTAGAAAAAACGCCTCGATTCCCGATTCCGCCTTTTAAAACCTTGACTAGGAGTACATGAATGTGTTTGGCATTATGTTGCTGAGTGTTTCTAATGGGATATAGTTCAACTGAAATATAAATATATCGTTGTTTTGGTCAGAAATAAAGTTTTGGTCATATTTCTCCAAATAAAAATATAGCAAGCATAATTGTCCAAATACTTGCTATTATGAGATATAAACTCAAATTTTCTTAGTAGTTAGCATAAGATATAGATCTCTAGATTTAATCAAGCTAGATGCATTAGTGGAGATAATATGATGAGGACATCGTCAGTGATTTTGACACATATACCACCGGAGATCGATGACCACGATCAAGAGTTTATATTTTGAGTCATTTTATGTAGTAGTTTATTTTATTTTTCAGTTTTATTATTTTACCCTTATTGATGGTCATTTGATATTGTAGCCCCAAGGGCATTTATGTCTTTTAGTTCCAGTGTCATTTTGGCATATTTATAGGAGGCCTCATGCAATGTATGAGGATGATTAGTTGATGAATGAAAATTTTCTCTTGTTGTTCTCTTTGTGAGTTCAAGACATTTCCCCTAGATCTCTTTGTGAGTTCTTGAGGAAATAATATTGTAGATTTCTTTGTGAGTTCTAGTGGATGAAGTGTTTAGGTTTGTGATTCTTATTTTCCTTTTCCTTCTCCACCAATCTCTTCCTCCTCCACCTCAAGAGAAGACAACCAAAACCCATTAGCTTGGAGAACCCGACCCCCTCCCCCTTCTTGTCGCCGCCCCCTTAGAGCCCAAGCCGCCGGCTGCCTTCCTACCACAGGCCGACCACCTTGCCACCGACCTCCCTTCATCCGCCCGCCACCCCTCTCTTCTCCTAACCATCATATTTGAAATTCAAATTTCGAATTTCAAATTCTTTCCAAATTAGGAAATCCAAATTGGGAAAGTTTTTATGTTGAATCCAATTTTAAATTAAATCAAATTGGATTTAATAATTTTTCTTTCATAGTCATCATTACCTATTTGGAAACCCCCTCTCATCCTCCCCCATCTCCCTCCTTGATGTCGCCGGCCCCTTAATGGGGTTTCCCATTGATTGCTCAATTAATCCTCCCTCTTATTTGAAATTCAAGTTTAATTTCAAATATTCTCCCTCCACTTTCACTTGAGCTGAAATTAATTTCAGTTTTTATTCTCTTTCCTTAATCCCTCTCCCTCTCATTAAACTGTCGGCCCCTAGGGGGTTCAAAGCTTAATTGCCCCCTTAAATGGCCATCCCCACTCTGTATTCAAATTTAAAATTCATTTAATCTCCCTCCAATTTTCTTAAAACTGAAATTAACTTCAGTTTTTTTCCTAAATCCCTCAAACCTAAGTGAATCTACCAGCCCCTCTCCCTACTCTTTGTTTGGCCGAGCTCCACCAAGAAAAGACTCTTCTACCGCCAAATTCATCCACACCGCAAGAACTTCTCATAGTCATGAATGGCCGATCCGGAGCGTGATTATGGCATTGCATACGATCATCAAGGAAACATTGACGTCATCCGATCACCGTTCTTTGACGTTGGATTCGGCTTCGACCACACCGTCGAGGATTACTTAAACCGGATTCTTCCCAACCTCGTGGACGTCATCGACGAGCAACTTCCGGCGGATGAGTGGATCATCAACGGCCGAACACCTTCTCCAAATCCGACTTCCTCCCCGTCGGCTAGCCCCCTCGGCATTACTTGTCTAATAGTGGCATCGTTGAGTTTGTGCGCCATCCTCTTTCGCTAAACGAGTGAATCCAAGAGTGAAAGTGAGGGACTTCGAGGTGAATGATCTATATCTTAAGCCTTGGATTTTTGTTAAGCGCCATTTGCTTTATTACTTATTGGATTTATTTTGTTTGTTTCATGTTGCTTCTAAATATAATTGATTGACGTTGCTTAGTTCTTCCATGAAAATTTCTTGCGATCTATCTTGAAAAGCATTTGTTTAAAATTAGCAACGCAAGTTCACAAGTATTAATTTCTAACAAGAAATTCTTGCCTTCCTATCACATCATAATAACTAATAAGATCATAATTAAAAGCTAAACATTTATAAAAGAATGTAGAAGCTATTTTGACAATTATTATACACATTTTATGGAAGAGATCGTTTAAAAGAGCAAAATGAACATGATCATGAAGTATATTATAGATTGTCCAAATTATAAAGCTGAGTTACCACTAAAGAAGATTCCTGAAGGATAAATTTTCAGGACTGGAAGTATACATCTTGACATTTAAAGAGATTGGGAGATATTATAGTAGCTTGAATAATTGATAATTTTTTTGAAACTTTTAAAGATAAGAGGATGCTAAATGTTTAAATAAGATATGTTTTGGTACCAATAATTACAAGCAAAAATATATTCAATATTGCAATAATTATAGAGAGATCAAACTTTTATATTATAAGTAGAAGTTTTGGAAAAGGACAAGGAACACATTTAAAAAAATCAAGTTGGTATCATAAAATCAATTTGCTTTTTATGCCAAGAAGTTCCAATACACAGGCGTTGTTTTTGTTCCAAGTCAATTAATTAATTAAAAAGTTAAAAAGAAAAAAGAATCGTCATATGATTTTTATTTGACTTGAGAAGATATAAAATTGGGTATCATGATACTTGATTTGTTGCATATTTAAAAAATGACAAAGATATGCCTAAATTATTAAAGACATATGGAATATTGATTAGCATAATAAATATTTGTGGATTTCAATTACAATAGCATTGGGTGTAGATCCTCAATATTTGAGGGGTTAAATGCACCGTGCAGTTAGCCCCATTCCAACCATGTGAAGCATTTTGCATGGAACTAATGATCAAAAATATATAACACACTCCATCACCACAAACTAACTTCTGCAGATTAAATCCAGCACAAAACATAAGGGATTGAAGAGAGAAAGAGGGTGGACTAAGGACTTAACTTCAAAGCAAGACAACTATAGCACCAATGCAAGGAAATGGCTATTTTAATTAAATGAGAATGTAACAGCAATAGAACTGTTGTAAGAAAGAGGATGCAGTCATTAAATATATATAGCGAACAATAGTGTAAGCTGAAGCAAAAGCTAAAATGTGAAAAAAATAAGAAATTGGAAAACTAACCTCAGACACCCATTGCCCAAGTATCAACGCAATTTTCCTATGAATGATGAGCATGTTTGGATGATTGTTTGAAAGCTCTAAGGAAAGTGACCTATTGAACCTGCATAAAAAAGTTAAGGGAAAAAAAGCATTATAGGTAAAATTAAAGTATCACAATCTTATGGGACTTCAATTATGAACAAAGTTTGCTGGCGAACATGCTTTTCTTTCTCTTGAAATAAAAAATTGAGTTTTAGTCCTACCATTTTGTAATTTTATTTGTTTTTTTTTTTCCAAAATAAAGATTTTATCCCTCCATTTCATATCGTTCATGCAAATACACCATTTTTTAGAAATATTACTATGAAACCATGTAAATTTCATGTATTAGATCAATGTAACATAAGCTCTGATTGGTTCAAGATTCAACCATGACAATCACAGGTGCTCTACTTCAGATTTAGGGTTGTCTTTGGTAGTCAATAGTGGCCTCAACCCTAACATATAGGAGTAGTTTTCGGCTCTTTTCTATGTCATTTTATTTAAAAAAAACAATTATTGAGAAATAAAATAAAACTTTCCAGAGATGTCAAGTCATTGCAAATGTTAAGCTTGGTAGAAGCCAATGGAATCACTTCTCACCTATTCAGATTCTTCTCTTTTCCTATATTTGTTCATCTTATTGTCTTTTCACTCCTCTGTTATGCCATTCAATTTATTCTTGATTGGGTTTAAATACGGATAGGAAATAGTGATTTCAATGCAGCCGTCACTAGTAAATTAGGTCAAGCAATGGTCTATTACAAGGAGCGAATGACCTTTGTTTCTTTTTTTTTTTTAGAATAGAAAAAATCTGTCCCAAATTTTCATTAGGTGGGCACAAGGCCATGGTAGATTCTCAAGATGTTTTGAAAGTTGCCAGAATTTCTCAACCAAAGCTATATGTCCTTTTGTAAAATTTTTTTAGTTACATCCATCTCTATCAGAACTCTAACTAATCATGATCTCGAAAGAGAGAAAGTGACTTCATCCAATTTAAGAGGTTCACCAAATAATGAAGCTAGTGAAAATAAAGTGCTCCTGCTCATACAACGCAATGGAATTCTTAGAAAGGCTATGCAAACTGAGGTAAGGGTGAGTCTTCTTTTAAAGTAGAACAGTGTCCATTTAAAAGTCCAAAAAAGATCCATAAATAAGATAAAATCTTTGTGAAAAAGCAATTGCAAAATCATTCCTTTGATTCAATCCATTCATGATGTGTCTTGAATTCGAAAGAACTATTTTGCAAGAATAAAAAAATTTGAAGCCTTTGAAACATGAAAAAGGCTAATAGTACTCTTATGCCTTCAATTTGATTGTACTCCTTAACTACTAATTTGGCCTTATTTCTAACTACTACAAAATCATTCATCTTAATTTTGAATACCTACTTGGTGCCTACTACATTTTGGTCCTTAGGTCTGCTAACCAACTCTCATATATCATTCCTAACAAATTGGTTTAACTCTTTTTGCATAGCTAGGATCCAGAATTCATCAGATAAGGCTTGATCTATATTTGTGGGTTCTACCATAAAGATAAATGTAGAATGACTAACTTCCTTCCTAAGTCAATGTCTAGTTGTAACTTCTATGAATGGATCCAAATCCTTTAGAGAATTGTCTGAAAACAATTGTGGAATTCCACCTATACTGATAATTATCAATGTGACAGAACTCAGAAGAAGTGGCTAGAGAAACATTCTCTTCATCACTATAGAAGGGGATTTTCCATGAAATGTAGAAAACAATTTCGGAGCAATGTAACCACGATCCTTTCCAACTAGAACATCATTGAATGATTTAAAGAGGGATTGAATCCACATTTGTAAAGCTCAAACCACCATCCACACCAAAGTTCCCAAGAATCCCATAAGGAGTTGAATCAAGAGTCAAAGATGGAGTACAAATAAAAAGCAATCAAACCTTTGAGGCATGGAAAGAAGGCGGTGGAGTTATACCAACATTGACAACCAAAGTCATCTACACTAGAGGTGATGAAAGTCTATCCCGATTTCATATAAGAGGGAAAAAAGCAAAATAAGAAGAAACCAAAGGAGATGTTGGGACTCATTGTGAAGACACCTAAAGGAAACTCAAGCTCTAGAAACTCCATGCAAGCCCACCTTGCTTTCCCTCAATGTCTACTCTCGTGAGCGTGCATCACTTACCACCATAGTGCTCATGCGCTACGCCTGCTTTACGATGCCTTTGTATGCATCAAATAGAACCTCTATGATTTATTTGCATGTCATATCAAATATCAATTACAACATCCATCATTTTGTTCTAAAATTATAGTTGCTCTAATTTCTATAAAAGATTTTTGCATGGATATAAGCAAAAATGCTTGTAGAAAATTTAGTTTAAATATTAAAACTATAAATATTACAGAAACTTTTAATTGAGAGAACCAATAAAACAGAAGCAAATAAAAACAATAATATATCAATAAGCTTAAAAACACAAGTCAAATTACTGTATGGGCATAAGCATGGACTATCAATTAGATGTGAGTACAGAGTAATAACAAACTAGTCTCCTAGGTGAAAAACGCTCCAACTGACAATTAAAGGTAGAAAACAAGAAAATTGATAATTTGAAAACAATTCAAATCAAAATTTTGACAGCCAAATTTTGAAAACCCATAATGTGATGTTTCAAAACGCAGAATAACCAAGTATAACTCCATAGAATAGTTCATATTACTAATACAACATCAGTAAGAAACATAATAACAACAGCTATGAGGTTTTTCTATTGTAAAAAAGTTTTGAGTCAGAAAACAATAAATGAGACGGCGAAAGAAGGTTTCGGGGAAAGACTCAAATTTTTAAACAAGTAGACTAAAAATATGCAGCAAGGCCGAGCATATTGTTTGCTACATGCTCAACCTAACTAAAAAAAAACTAGAATCAAATAAATGCAATAAATCATGCAGTAAAGTAACCAAATTTATGTGGGTTCTAAAAATTCACACCCCAGCCTATGTGCGCCTTCCTTTGTTTGTTTGATGGGGAGACTTTTAACGGATTTAGGTTCTGGATAAATTTTCAAAAGACATATTGGGTTTTAAATAAGACACTACCCAAAGATTTCACCCTCATTTTGCGAGGAATTTATGGTCTGAGCTCTAGTTTTCTATAAGCGCAAACTCTTACGGTTAATTACCCCTCCCAATAACGAGGAGAACTTTCAACTAAGGCTAGTCGTGAGATAGACACTGAGTACCCGATGTATAGTAGCAGTAACATTAGGGATTTTAAAATTGGATTTTAGGGATTTTTAAGATTTAAAATTTATCACCATATACTTAAAAATAAGTGATGGGGGGAATGAAAACGAGCCCGATTAAGATCCCATATTTCAGTCGTCCTAGGCTGTCACGGTCCCTAGTCTACTTAGTCAAAGGAGGTAGAACTTTGTCAGCAGCCATGGGTTACTTTGTTCAAGGACACCTTGTAGACCTTGGGTGCATGTTTTTCTAAGGAGATATATTTGAGTCCACCTTAACTGACAAAAGAGATTTATGCCTATCAAGTTTACCCTATGATTCATTACTCAAAGACTTGAAACTATTAGATAACATACGGACTTCGTCCATGATTGTAATATAGTGGTGCCATTTTGAAGCAAAATCACCCAATCAGAGGGCACGTGCCACATCCCTGCTGGCGAGAGATTATTTGAGAGTGAATCTTAGTGATACACCTGACACGACATTTACTTTTTGTGAGCTGAGGTTAATTTCAAATTTTTCACTCCCAACAAACGATTGTGGAAAGCGGATGAATTTTAGTTTTAAGTTTTTGGTGATTTAAATTTACATTTAAAAGTTAAGAATATAATAGATGTTATATTCTAAAACTTTAATAAGCTTTGAGAATTTACCCCTCCGATTGATATTTTCTGTCAACACGGCTATCATTGGGGTGACATGAGAGTTTCTTTTAAATTATCATTATACTTTTGTGGGAATTTATAAGGCGTCTTGAAAATATGGGATCCCCTCCGATTGGAATTATCTATCAACACAGGCATCCTTGGCGATATAAATAATTAGTTATTTGAACTTTGTCAACTATATTTGCCCACTAACAGAGCTGTGTGCGTGATTGTTAACAATTGCAGTCAACCTTGTCAACAATTGACCGTATTTTTAAAAGAAAAGATAAAAAATATTTCATCTCACTCAAGAGTATAATAATATCACTCTATCCCTACTGAAAAACAAAAGTTAGGATCTAGATAATTCTCGAAATATACTAGCCGGTCCATTTAAACCATAAACAAACAAATCAAAATATGAGCATCTACATGTTCAGTTCAGACTTTAAAATGCAGCCTAAAAACAAAGAAAACCAAGGAATACCTAATTTTGTTGCAAAAATTAGCTCAACAAAACCATGCAAAAAAAAAAAAGAAACCACAATGGACTAAATTTGACATTAAAGTGAAGGCAACTTAGCCTCTATTAGAACTAAAACAAAAGAATAATATGATATCATATTTGTGAATAAGTTTATGAGTTACCAATCACTGAAATTTAGGTAAGCCGAGAGCTCATAATACACATGTCCAGCAGCACTATAAGCGGCATCTTTTAGTAGCATTGCAGGAGTAATTTCACTTTCTAAAGGTGGAGAAGCACTCATTGCCTCTTTAAGAATAGAGACCACCACAGGAGCAAGCAGCTGAAAAAACAGGTCACACGATTATATTCTAAATTGATCACAAATTAAACCCTTACTAAAATTAACCAGCTAACATACAGGTCTATAATTTTCAAACAAAACAATATAGAGAGCTTCAGCACATGGTCTGAGTTTTTCTGTCCACTGCAGCATGTCCTGCTCATGGTGAAAGGATTCAGAGTTCTGAAACCATTCATTCAAGTCCTCTGATGTGTAAATGAAATACCTGTCAGTAGATTTGAAGAATGCATAATAAGTAGAAAAAGAAATGATTTCACAATTGGCAAAGAGTACCTGTTTAGCCTCATGGTATGCATGCAACACAGGTATAAAAAGTAAATAAATGCACTGAGTACCACTAGTCTCATAATCACTGCTCTAAATAATCAATTAATGATTAATTTAACATAATGCGTGTGTGTGTATGCCCAATGTTCTACATATATCACTAACCTTTTTAATGTATGAGGAGCTTCGCAAGATATAGCTCATGATTCCTGTTGACCCGTTACTGTATTCAAAAAGAAAAAAATATACGTACCTGTCCGGCGCCGAATTCAGCACGTCGTCGCCCACGACTTCGCACGATCGGATGTCCCTCTACGTCGTGTTAACAGCTCTCTCCGCTCTAACTCTCTCATTCTCTCCCGCCCTCTCTCGCATCGACTCTCCCACGATCTCTCTCTCCCTCTCGCAGTTCCCCCGTCTCTGCTCGGCTCCGACAACGACTTTCCCTCCTGCTGGATCGGAAGTTACATTTTGATCGGAAGCACAAACGGGAGCTCACCGACTGCGAAGGAAACTTTCTCCCTCCCGTCGCGCCTTCAGCTCCTCCGTGGACGTCCGACTCAGCTCCGAGGAGGACGAGGCCGAATTTTCGGAGCCCACAATTCCATAGCCAAATGCAAAATATCGCATAACTCCTAAAAATAACATTTAGTGGGGTTTCTATTTTTTATGAGGATAACTTGTTATAGACTTTACATCAGGAAGAACTAAAACATAGAGCAAACATCTTGAAATATGGTCACGTTGTTATAAGATATGATGTATGCAACTTGAAGCAAAACACAGAGAGAACAACAAAGAGAATCAAGACTCACTTTTAGAAATTTAACACACCACTTGGAGAACAAAATAGGCTACATAAACAACTAAATTTCATAATAAAAAGGAAGCGATCATCCAACAAAGCCAAAGCAAAAGAAAGTTAGCAAAAGAAACAAACTAAAAACAAACAAAAGCTATCCTCAGAACATCCTACAAGAGGACTCCTCACATGCACCGATTGTAGGAATATATAATTCAGATAATGTTTAGATATGCAAACCAAGGGTCCACCACTGCAAAGGGGTCCAACATCCTTCCAAACTCCTCCAGCAAATGCCACCAAAACAGCCAACAAATCCACCAAAACAGCCAACAAACTTTACCAACGGAAATAGAAGAAAAATACAAGTGGAGTGGAACTTGTGGAGAAAAGAAAGAGGTTAGAAGCTCAGACGAAGGGTGGAGAAGCTCGCAAGCCTTCCAAGAGGTAGAAGAGGGAATGGACAAAGCTCTCAAGCTTTTCTAAGAAGAACCCGCAGGTTATAGCAACTTTGCTCTCAATATTCACCAACCCTCTTCATCTCAAAGCATTTCATATATATAGGCAATAGAGGGGAACTAAACAGCCCAAAAAATACTTCAATTCCACACATAAATGGGGAGTTGAAAAGCCAACTGTTTTTGTACAGAAATTCCAAACGGCACAGCAAAACACAAGGGAAAGTCACGGTTCCAGCAGCCAAGCACAGGAAACCAGGAGACAATTCTCGGGTCCAGCAGGAGATCATTTCTCGGTAAAAAGGGGTGAAGTCACGGCAGTAAAGGGGGAAGAGAGCCGAGGGGTCAACAGCAACCAAACAAGCAGCAGTAAACCGTGGGAGAGAAAACAAGCAGAAAAACTGCAGCAGCCCAAGAGACGAAAGGGAGAGGAAAGGGCAAGTTCCACCCACCAAAATATGCTCACTTCACATTTAATTTCAGAACTAAACATCAGCTCATAATGAGCTATACCTCCACTTGATAATAATGAGCTGGCACCACTAGAATTTC